GGAGGCCCACGAACCAGCCCACGCTGAAGCCGGACACCACGGCTCCCACCACGAAGGCCGCCACCGACGATGTCACCAGCAGGTTCACCGACACCAGCCCTGCGCGGTCCTCTGAGAGGCTGGCCCGCAGGAGTCCTGGCGGGGGAGCACAGTGGGGTTAGCGGGGCCGAGGTGGGGCCCGGGCACCTCTCCTACCTCCTCAGGCCCTCTGTCCTCTTTTTCATTATTTTTATTTGTTGTTGTTATTATTATTTTTGAGACGGAGTCTCGCTCTGTCGCCCAGGCTGGAGTGCAGTGGCGCAATCTCTGCTCACTGCAAGCTCCGCCTCCCGGGTTCACGCCATTCTCCTGCCTCAGCCTCCCGAGTAGCTGGGACTACAGGCGCCACCGCACCAGGCTAATTTTTTGTGTTTTTAGTAGAGATGGGGTTTCATCGTGTTAGCCAAGATGGTCTCCATCTCCTGACCCCATGATCCGCCCACCTCGGCCTCCCAAAGTGCTGGGATTACAGGCGTGAGCCACAGTGCCCGGCCTTTTTATTATTTTTTTAGATGGAGTCTTACTTTGTGTGCCAGGCTGGAGGGCAGTGGGGTGATCTCGACTCACTGCAACCTCCACCTCCCAGGTTCAAGTGATTCTCCTGCCTTAGCCTCTAGAGTAGCTGGGACTACAGGTGCCCGCCACCACGTGGACCCAGCTAATTTTTGTATTTTTAGTAGAGACATGGTTTCACCATGTTGGCCAGGCTGGTCTCAAACTCCTGATCTCGTGATCCGCCCACCTCTGCCTCCCAAAGTGCTGGGATTACAGGCATGAGCCACCTCACCTGGCCTAATTGTTTTATTTTTAAATTTTTTTGTTTTTGTTTTGAGACAGAGTCCCCCAGGCTGCAGTGCAGTGGTGCAGCTCAGTGCGACCCTGCCTCCAGATACCTCTGTTTTATTAAAGACAGGATCTCGGCCAGGCACGGTGGCTCACACCTGTAATCCCAGCATTTTGGGAGGCTGAGGCGGGCAGATCACCTGACGTCAGGAGTTTGAGACCAGCCTGGCCAACAAGTCAACTGAACCCAGGAGATGGAGGTTGCAGTAAGCTGAGATCACACCACTGTACTCTAGCCTGGGTGACAGAGTAAAACTCTGTCTCAAAAAAAAAAAAAAAAAAAAAAAAAGATTCTTGCTCCGTTGCCCAAGCTGGAGTGCAGTGGCCTGACCACAGTTCATTGCAGCCTCCACCTCCC